GTATGAGACGGACCTTTTTCCCTCAAAAGAGGCTGGGTGCGTCTCATATACTAAATACAGCATTTTTTGCCTCCTCAAACCCCACCCCCTTCACCAAAATGGCCGTGCATAGCTTTTAGGAGGCTTTCAGAGTGCTCCTGGGTGTTGGGGAGGGCAGAAATGAGTGAAAAATGGGCCAGCCCCCAAGAGCACTCTATAAGCCTAAAAGCTATCCATCCCCTTTTTTGACAAAACATGGACCCGTTTTCACAAAAAACGGGCTGTTTTTTGCTTATTTTTGGCTCCACCCCCAGCCTCCCAAGAGCACTCCACAAGCCTCCTAAAGTCTATCCATGCCCCTCCCTTTAAAAAAAAAAACAGGTCATTTTTGGGAGGTTTGCAAAAACAAAATTGCCTCTTCAACTCTCTTTGGAGAGTTACAAACCAATGAAGCGAACTAATGATCTCCTGCAAACTCCACTCCCCTATCGCTTCTCTTATTTCCTCTGGGAGGGGCCATTCATTGTCCATCTGTGGCCTTATTCCCAAGTTGACCCTTGTTCCTTAACTGTTCCCTTCATCTGGCAACTCTGTGCATGCGCACACTGGGAACAGGCTCCACCTGTTCTTCTGCCTTACTGATTTTCGACTCTGAAGGCAGCTGATAACTGTCAGACCGCCCTGGCCCCCTCTCTGCGTCCGACACAGAGCCTTCCCCAGACTCCAGGACTGACCCATGTTCCTCCCCAACCCTCCTCACTGTCTGAATCTGCTGCCAGCTCCACTGGCCACTGGCGGGCCACAACACCAACTTCAAGGTGTGGCTTCTCACTACTCCATGGCTATTTCTAAGCTCAAGCGCCATTAGATCAATGTGTCCATTGGGAATTAAATGTGTTTTTTTGGGGGGAAGCTTGTTCAAAATACATGGGACTGCTCTGTTGATCTTGTGTAAGTGAGACCTCTCCTAAGACCACCTTAGAAAAAACCCCTACGGCCCCTTCTGAGAGGTCTCGCATGCAAACACTAATTCATCGTCTAGGGGACTACAGAAAGGTCATTCTCCATAAAACATGTCCCTGTTAAAAGCAAGTTTATTTGAACTAGAAATGATGCAGGACAGCAATTCAGCCACAAATCTTCCCTTCAGGTCATGGCCCTTGTTTGGAGCACCTGCTGCCGCTTGGACTCAGGTGTCGTCTTTCTGGAAGAGATGCTTACATTTAACCAGTCTCCTCTATTAGATGTATGGACAGCGGCTAGCACAGGTTTGATGAACACGGAATGTGCAAACAAGCATTGATTTGGAAAACGGAATCGGAGGTGGTAGCATCTAGACCAGTTATGGCAAACCTTTTCAGCACCAAGTGTCCAAGGTAGAAATGTGCGTGGATGCGTGCCTGTGTGCATGCTGGAGCACCGGAAAACCGAAGACCAGTTGCCCGTTGCTCACATGTCTGGTTTTTGCCCAGTTTTCGGGGCATTTTTGGGTTGTTTTCAAGCCATTTTTGGGGAGTTTGCCCGGAAAACGGTCGCCAAAACAGCTTGTTTTGGGGCTGTTTTCAGGGCCATTTTCAAGCCATTTTCAGGGAGTTTTGGGGGGAGTTTTTGTCCTGGAAATGGCCCAAAAACAGCTTGTTTTTGACCCGTTGTCAGGCCTTTTGGGGGGCATTTGTGGCCAAGAAAAAGGCCCCCTAAAACAGCTTGTTTTGGGACCATTTTCAAGCCATTTCCAGGCCTCTTTTCAGGGTGTTTTTGGCCTGGAAAAAAGGCCCAAAATGGCCCCCAAACCAGCTTGTTTTTGGACCGTTTTCCAGCACTCCAGTGCCCACGAAGACCAGCTGACTGGCGCGCCTGTGCACACTGGAAACCTGAACAGCAGCTCACCATCACGGATCTAGACCATGGAAACTTTAAGCAAACCCAACCTTGGCTAGGACTTGTTTGGGTGACCCCCAAGAGTTCCAAGGCTCTGAGCTAGGCTTAAAAACCGAAAAATATCCAGCCCTTCTCTTAAGGAAAGGGCAAATATTTTCTGGAAAGTCAGAATACGGTTGGCCGGATGGACAGTCTCCAAAAGTTCATCCCTGCTCAAGATGCCTTTAGAAGAAACGATCATTTTAGGACGCTTCAGATTTGCCATGCTGGTGGTTCTCCACAGAGGGTGACCGTTCTGGTCTGCTTCTTTCCACATCATAACTTTCTAAAAGCAGGAAGGACCTCAAAAGGGCGTCCTCCTCCTTTGGCATGGGTGAGGCTGGAGCAGCTATGGGTGCCGAATGCCAGGAATGGAAGCCCGTTCATTGTTGAAGTCCCCAGGAATGAAGAATGATACGATTCACAAAGCCGGCTTGAAAGGCATCTACGTAGCTCATCCAGGAGGGGGAGACTTTGGCCAAGAGTTTGGCATCTTGTACAGTACATGCAGCTTTTTCCAGAGTTGGTGAAATCTCTTCTTGACTCAAAACACTAGTAGCGGCGTTTAAGATGCATGACGAGTTTAGAAATTCAAGGCAAAGGTAGACTCTTCTCAACCGGGGATAACTCAAAAGTAGAATAACAGAGTTGGAAGGGTCGTCTAGTCCTGTGACCCGACAAATGCGCGCACGACAAAAGTGCGGCGACGAAACCGCGGCGAGAAAATCGCGATGTCATAAACGCACCCACAACAACGCGCCGACAAAAGTGCCCCCACAAAAGCGCGATTTAACTTACCCTTTAAGGTAAGGGTTAGGTTCAGGGTTATGGTTATGGTTATTAGGTTGTTATTACATGTTTGTTGAAGGCGCGCTTTTGAAGGCCCACTTTTGTCGGCGTGCTTCTGCACTCATTCATCGGCGCGATTTCGACCTTGCAGTTTTCTCGCCACGGTTTCGGCAGGAAAATCTACACCACTTCAGACAAGTGGCTATCCAACATTTTGGGTCACCTCTGG